TTATGCACCAAGAGCTTGTAACACTCCAAAGAGAAAGGAAAAATTTAAATCGCATCATATGACCCCTTTAAGATAGGATAGTGTAGAGTAGACAGGAAGTGAAGTGGGAGAGAGATGGGGGTGGGATCGGGAAAGATCGGGACTCCCGTGATACAATGGCATGTTGGCACACTGCCCACTAGGCTATTGGCGCTGACAATAATTTTTAACAATATTACTGCTTTTAATGTATTTTTTAAGCTAATAAATGTAGCTTTGGTATGTAGCTTAAGAGAAACATTTAAAAGAAAACCTTACCTGTAACAAACATTTAAACGGTAGTGTATGAGAACCAAGTTCCTGTAGCTGGTGTGTGGTGAGCCCACTGTGCCATTGTCCTGTGGCTGCCGTCGCATCATCCAGGTGGTGGTTGAGGAGAGATGATTGTAAAGCGCTTTGGGTGTACAGCAATACAAAATAAAGCGCTATATAAATGCCTCATTCATTCATTCATTCAAGTTAGTTGGCTATAAAGCAGATAAAATTTCTCCTTAACGCAAAACTCCCAATTGAAATTATTTATTTATTTATGATGTAAAATTTAATTGAGCAACATTTAGCTTTGAGCATGTTGGTTATACATTTTCACTGGCAAAGTCCATTTATTTCAGTTGGAAACCAATACAGTCAAGATTCCTCAAGGGCATAAAGTTGAGTTTCGCGTGAGGCCAAAAAGTATCCCAACGCAGATTTCACTCATGCTCAAGTTGCTCTCATGAATTTGCCGTGTTGCACAACAGAAAGCTGCTTGGTTTGAAGGTTACTTCTAAACTGTGCTTCATACATCATTACACTATTTACAATGGATAATTTGACCACATCTTATGTTTCAACATGCTTGTGAAGACCACATTTTTTTGCTTGCACCTCTGTGTGAAACAAGTGTGAGATTGTTAAATGTCTTAGCTTGATTTCAACCTCTTTCACTTCAAATGTCAAAACCTTGAATATTTACAGAAAGACTGTCACTCTGGGATGTGTACACAGAGATAGCTCAGATTTATTGCTCTTTTCAGAACACATTTTACTTAAACTGCTGTAACATAAACATGACATTGGAGAACTGGAATTCAATACATCCCATGTATTAGCTTTTTGTGGTTATAAAGGGTTAGATTACTAGTACATTTGTTATCTTTGTATGTGGGCCTGTGCTGTGATGTGAAACGGTTTCGCTTCTGTAATAGTTTATTTTTGAAGAAAAGGAACTTGTGTTTCAAGAATACTTGAAATGTTGACACATTTAGGCCTGTTAAAAGAAAGTAAGTTTTATTTAGCACTGTTGGCCTGTAGTTTTTTAAGGCTGTTTTTCTTAGCGCTTGGTCAGAACCTGAACCTGAACCTCCCCTGCTTCCACTCGCTTTTCTCATTTTTCTTTTGGTTTCGTAGCTTGGTACTTGGTACGGCAGAATTCTCCCACTTCCTACTTGAAATTTAATATTGGAATGGCGCTCAAAGTTGAACATCCAACATTTAACATCAGAGCAGATCAATTATTCCCAAATTTAATTTGAAATAATTCCAAGACAACTAAAGCAGAGGTTTATCGGTTATTTTCAAGTGAAAGTGGGAGAATTTGGTGTTAGAGGTTGTCTAGAATGCAGCACAACTGGAACACTTTGTGGTTGGAAATTGTACATTTAAACTTGAGTTTTCCCACCTTTGTCTTCGTCCTGAACAGGGTAAAAGTTTCAAGGATCATAATATAATAAATATAATATAATATATCTGGGGTCAGTGGGATTTATTTTTAATGTATTTTGAAAGTAATGTTTTTTCCATTTATGCTGACCAAGGCTGCATTTATTTGATTAAGAATACTGTGAAACAGTGATATTGTAAAATATGATTGCATTTAAAAATAACTGTCTTTGCTGTCACTTTTGATCAATTTAATGCATCCTTGCTGATTAAAAGTATTAATTTCTTTTAAAAAAAATCCTGGCAATCCAAACTTTGGAACGATAATGTATGTCACATTATATACCATCACTTGAAAAGCTGTGTGGTCTGTGGGTTCCATGTGAGAAGGCAAGAGAATAGTTAATGAAAGGAAGCTTTCTAGACATGGCTGGTCGATGGGAGTCCACCATGAGTGTCAACAGGTCAGTCTCGTTCATTAGAGTCCCCCTCCTTCTTTCTGCCTGTTCTCCCTGTTCCCCGTTCCCAGGCTCCGTTCATTCCTGGGGGCCCCTTTAGCTCAGTTGTGCGAGTGTTTTGGAGAGCGTGTGTGTGCGCTGAGTGCATATCCAAGGCAACCTTTGTTGGCAGTCGGCAGCTTGGGTTTTGTATTTGCAACACAATGCAGTTAAGGGTGGGGGGATGTCAGTGGAAAGACAGAGGAGGGGGATAAGATTCAGTAGTCTGTGTGAAGGAGGTTTGGGAATAGTTGCTTGATTGAGCAAGTGTTTGTTTTGAGTGTGTGTGTGTGTGTGCGTGTGTGAGACTCAGACGCTGTCCTATAGACACAAACGTCTGTCTCAGACACTGGAGGAGCGCCGGTTTAAGTATATGCATAGTGGCATATGAGATGAGGAATGAGCCATGAAAAGTGAAGTGAGCCAACAAACAACATATTCAGCCATGCTCTGGCATACTGATAAGTCACAGGATGAGGTTTAGATTTTTACAAGCATGCTGAATCATAAATATATTATTCAGCAGTTGCTCAGAAGTGATAGTAAAGACGTTTACATTGATACAAAAAAATCTATTTCAATTAAATGCTGTTTTTGTGATTCTATCAAAGAATC